AACGAGACCTTGTGTGGATGGATGCTCGACAGAAAGTGACAAAAATACGCATGGCGAGTCAGGATTCTGCTGTTGTCGTGACCCGTGGGAAACAACATCAGAACGAGGCATGATGGACTGGATGGATGGATGGATGGATGGGTTCACCGCATAGGTCCCTGTGCGGAACGGCGGGGCTCTGTACCGTACTACACACACAGTGGCAGCTCTGATCCGGATTCCGCTGTGACGAGCCGGTCAGGTGACCGACACTGCCGTTGGTGCCGGCCGGGACTGTCGTTTCAGTTTGTCCGTCCCAGTGTTCGCCCAAAAGGCCTATAGCCCTGTTTTCGGGAGGCTATAGGCCTTTTGAAGCTTATAGGCCTTAGGGCTATAGGTATTAAAGGCCTAATGGGTCACGTGGACGAGTCACGTGGACAAGAAATCGAATTACATTATGAAGCTAATACTATGCTTATCGCTCGATATACTCCTCATCGTCGTCAATTTCAATAGCACCATCATCGGGATTAGCATCCTCAGCCATATTTGCGAGCTCCTCCATGAGCTCTTCCTCCTGCAAGATGGCACGCGAAGCAGCCTTGCGTTTGCGAGGCTTTTCAGCCTCGCCAAAAAGGTTGTCGAGGGTCACCGACTTCCACAGTCGCAGCTTCTTGGGAGCAGAAGCTTCGAAAGCGTCATCGATTTCCTCATCAGGCTCGAGGTCCAATTCGTCCACGTCTGGAGCCTCCAGTGCTTGCTTTTCGGCTTCGCGTGTGGCTGCAATCCAGCGATTCATGTCGGCGCGCCACCCGCCAGAAGTCATGATCATCAAGTCGTGCCCCGCAGTAGCCGGAGTTTGGATATCCTGCGCCTCGAGAGCATCCCGGTAGTGTGGAACAGTGAGGAGATGGTCGAGTCGGCGATGATTCTTTCGGCCGGAGCGTTCTTTGTACAAGCTGTCGCGAATGTGTTCAGCACGAATATCTGCTTTGATCTAGATAGAAAAGAATCATTGATATGGGATAGTGCTCGAGATGCTGCAGACTTACTCGAATCCGGCTCTCTAGTTTCTTGCGTCCTAGACGGACACGATGATCTCCTTGCTCAATTTTTGCTGCCGAAAATGCACGTTCGACGCCAGCTTGATTCGCAACAATTGTGAGTATTGTCTGCGCAAGTTTGACAAGTTCGTAGACGGCAGCTGGACCCGAAAATGCCTCCCAGACATCGAGGGGATCCTCATCGTCCTGAAAGACAGAGGGATTACTCAATCAATCACTAGGAGGATATTGGAGCGACGTACATAATCTGCCTTCCATTCGACAGGATTAAAGCCACCGAAGTCTCCAGTACCAGTCAAGTATAGCTTGAATGCTTGTAGAAGGGACTTCTCCTTTGCGGTACGCTCAGCCTCGGAGTCGGAGTTGTTGGGCCGAGAAGCAAATCGACAATGAACCTGACGACACGAGCATCAGTATTCACCGGACAACAACATGTAGAGACAAACCCGTAGTATGATATCGCGTGCCTTGAAGTGGTTCATCCCAGATTTTGGTCCAAACGAGCTCAGTTTCTCAAATGGGTTCAAGATCAGCGCAGCGAGGAAAAACGGCTGATCACAGTCCTTCCAACGCTGCTCAATACGCCTGGTCATGTGGCGGGCAACCTCGCGCTCGGGATGATCGACAAAGCGTAAGTATATGCCTGTCAGGTGCAGCACATATCAGTAGAGAGCGTAACTCAAGAGGATATCAAACTTACCGGCAATTGTGAGCATGATCTGATCAGGTCGAGTCGAGTCTTTTTGGTTGATGTTGATCCCGAGAACAATTGGCTCCAGGTCCTCAAGAACAGAGTGAAGCCCAGACCAGAACGAAGCATCCTGAATGCGGGTGCAGTACTTCTCTGCCTCCTCTCGAAGACGTACGGCCTCAGTCGAAACAGCGGCTCCAACTTGAGCAGCAACAATCGCAGTTTTGCGATGCATGACAGCAAGCTGGAGAGATTCGTGAAGGTGGTATAGGCACCGGAATGCGACAAAATGTGTCGTCCATTGAGTGATATTGGCAACGAGGAAAGCAAGCACCACAATGTGTCCGAGCCGATCAAGTGAGATCTCCTTCTGGGCCTCGTCGAAGATGTCTCGGACGCGACCGTGATTGTTGATCCAGCCTATCAGCTCCGTCGCTTCCTCTGCAAGTATTGCGGCAAGATCGTGGACCTTGAAGTAGTCACCCAGAATCAATTGAAACTTGAACAAAGTCAGCGACTAATGAGCGGGGATAATGAGCACGTACCTGATGGGCCCAGCATGACGGAGCGAATAGATAGCTCCTCTCCTTGGCCAGAAGCATGCGGGCACGCTTGCTTCCGCCATCAGCGTCTGTGGTGAAATAGATGACGGTGCATTCATATTTGCATTCGACTTGATCAATGATCTCTTTAAAATGCCTCACCAGCAATTCTCCATCCTTCGGCAGACTGGTAATATCGACCAGCTCAAGCAGAAACGCCTAATGATTACAGCTATCAACTGGAATAACCGCTGAGACAGCGGAGACATACGCACCTTAAACTTCACGTTGCTGCACAACCCACTGAGTGACCGCTTTGTTGCTGACTTCCATCCATCAAAGAACAAGCCAACATTCTGTCCCTTCATGACTGCCAAAGTCCGAGTTGACAATGCGTCTGTCGCATTCCTGAGGAGACGGCCACCAACCACTTTCCCCGTCGGGAGGATTGCAGGGGCTGTGCTACGCAGCATCCCAAATACTTTCTTCATTTCCGGATCCTCAAAGATTCGCAGCGGTGCACCAGATGAAATTACGGCGCGGAAGAGTTGATGCTGGAAGTCCTCCTTTTCGGCTGTGCTGAACGGCATTTCGTTGCGCTTGTAAGCCATGAGCTGGGTCTGTGATGTAGTCTGCTTCTTTGCGGGAGGATCGTTAGCCGTCTGAGAGTTCGAACGGCTGCGCTTCTCTGATCCGGACACTGTTTGGGAGGCAGCACTCGATGACAAGTTCTTTGTTTTCAGCGCCAATTGCTCGGTTGCCGCAAAGGTTCTGGCCTCTTCAGAAGCATGTGGGCATGCCTGAGTCGGCTGCTTGCCTGGTCCGAGTATGTGCGCAAGCCATGCTGATTTCTCGCCACGTGTGCTTCCGATCTCCACGCACGCTTAAAACCATCAGTATTGATGGGATCGTATGATAAGCTATGGACGGACCATCTTTAAATCGCTGAGATTGTACAAGGATATCATTCGCACTACCACCGTTGTTGTCTAAATAGTTCTTGATACAGCCTTTACAGTAAGAGCGATATTGAGTAGCATTCTGTTTGTCACCCTTGTAAAAGTGCTTCCAGTACTGCTCTGTGGACATGGAGACCGGCAGACGGTGATGACGATGATAGAGATTGATAATGATAAGAGATTGGGTGAAGCACGTGACTGATCGGCTCACGTGCTAGTATAATCACGTGCATGCCAAAGGCCTCAAGAGGCCTATACTATCATTGACCCACATTTGCAATTGCACCCTGATCTGCAATCCGTGATAAACACACATTTCCTGGGCTTCCACATCCCTCAACGTGTCCCGGATGGACTCCCAGAGATTCATATATAGCTGTTCAATGCTCCTGTAAAATATATACATTCCATATTTTGAAATAATTACACCCGAGACCATAAACCTACTTTCAGAACACTTTTTTGCTTATCTTGACTCAGAGATTTCAGATTTCGATGCGGAAAAAAGCTCACACCCTTAGATTTGCTACTGGTAACGCATGGTTGATATATCCTGAGTCCAGTCCTCGCAGTTCATGAGAACGGAGCATGCGTGACGGAGGCCATCAATTTTCAAGTCCCGCGTGCAATAACCGAGACCTGCCTCCAGTCAGGCCACATCATTGCCGAGACGTGCCGGATTGCATCAAAGTGTGACCCCGTGTGACAAGCGATTGCAAAAGGGGGGTCAGCCCCGCCAAAAAAAGTGATCGTTTCGGCAACTGCGTGGCTTCATCCTCTGCCCTCAGATAGCGAGTAAATTTCATGAAGACAGTCTCAAGGGTTCTAAATTTAGTATCCTCAATTTTATTTTTTCTCGGTGTGTGTTATGCAAGCTAGCGAGGCCACCATCAAAGTGTTTGCAGAAGTGGGTCATCGATAGTAGCGCAACACAAAAAGTCTATAGGCCTTCATATAGACCTCCTATAGCCCTATAGCCTTATAGGCCTTAGGCCTTTGGGCGAACACTGGTCCGTCCGCCATTCTCATTTCTGAGCGCTCTGTACTTGTTCGACACGTCACACACAGACCTAAAATCCTGCTGCAATGTCGCTCATACCTTGGCCCCTGTCGCCTCGGTATCTCCCATGTGTCTCGGGGATGTTGAGTGACCGCCACGAATCAGCTCTGGGGACATGTCCTGATCGCTCAATTCGGCAGGCTGTTTAGTTCTGCGCTCAAGGTTATGTTTTATTGAATCTTAGACGCTTTCCTCGCTGTTGCAGAGCAGTGGATCAACAGTTCCCGCATTTTCGCGCTTCCTGCTGCCCGATCACTTGTAGAGCCAGTCATCAACTTTGGGGTCCTGTCCTGCCTGCGACATCTGTGAATGTCGCTTTTCTGTCGCGATCACGCTCTATTACGACGATTTCGAATGCATGTCTCGCTCTGCGAGTTCAGCCACCCTAGACGGTGGTCATTAACTGTGGGCGAATCTGATGTTCTCGCTCAGTCAGCGCACAGGCCCGGCCACTGCTTAGAATGTTTGTTTTGTTTTGTTCATCTACTGCTGTGTCCATGGTGCTTCTGGGCCCTCGATGAGGGTATACAACCTCCTATTTCGCTCAGCGGCTCTTTCGCTGACTTGTATTCTCCAGATGTCTCCTCGACACGTCTGTTGCCCGTTTCTCGGATGCATACTCATCACGCACATCACGCCGTGCTCAGGCCATCTACTCCTAGTACGGCACTCGTCCTAAGGAGACGCATCTTCTCACTGCCACACGAACGAGCTGCGTTTCTGGCGCCAGTCAACACCCAGCCGGGGCAAGCCCGGGTGTGACAAGTCGGGCATTTATGAGCGGACCCGCGTCCGCGCTAGTGGAAAGGGTGGCAATAACTCCAGGAGTGCTTGCGAAGCATTTTGCCGATGGGCGCTGGTCAGCTAGCCCGCCGAAAGTATGGAAAGTTATTGGCCGGATAAGCGGTCTCAGCAGAAACAGGATCGGCTTCCAGAGCACCTGCATTTTGGGTGAGATGACTCTGACAAGTTCACCTGTCGCGTCGATTGGCCGTTTAATTGAGTCGGGCAGTAACCGGACCATCAAGAGGAGGAAAAGCATCGGCTGCTCTAGGCCCACGGACACTCCCGCATATGTCAGTCCAATTTAGTGCAAATCAAGCCCCAAAATTGGCTTTATCTCAGGGCCAGAGTTAGTGCAGATCGGGCCCAAGAGCCCAAATCCCAGTCCCAGTTAGTGCAAATCGCGGGCGAAGCCCGCAAAATTTTTGGACCATATATCATCGGTCGACGGTGAGAGAGTCAGATCAGCAAATTTTGACCTATTCCTGGATGAAACGGAGAGCTTTTGACGCATGTCAAGAGTGCTTCAAAATCAGGGCCATCGTGGGCAAAAAATGGGCAAAAAACTCCGAAAAGGGCTAAAATGATGGCATATCTCAGTCCGATTTAGTGCAAATCAAGGGTTCTAGAGGCCAATTTCGTAGTGCAAATCAGCCTGGCTCGGCGGACTGACATAACCGGGAGTGTCCGTGGGCCTGCTGCTCTAGTGTCGCAGAGATTCGTCAGGAAGAGCTTCGCATGTGGCGGCGGCGGCGCCCGGTCACATTCTCCTTGTCATCGTTATCGCGGCGTATCACAGTGACCTGACACGCTAATGACAGGCGCTCGCACTTTACCCCATCCTCGCTCAGACGGTGTCTATGGATGTGTCATCCCCGGCAACGAACTATCAGTAGCAGCCCCTGCAGTTGCAGGAACGATATCAGCGGAACGGCTACCGCTACGGCTGGCGGTTGGCGGCGGGGCGTTTCGACTCGCATGACACCCCGAACGTCGCGATGCGTGGGCTAGCGGTGAAGGATCCGAGGCTGCGAGAGCATTGATGTCCACGTCGAAGGTCGGGTCGCAGCGACATCCGATAAACGGTCCTTCTTCACTTTCGACGTAGGGTGTGCCACTCAGAGAAATGTGGTTCTCACCAAAATGAAACCGGCTGTTCACAAATGCTTTTCGTTTGGATGGCTTGAAGAACCGCGGGGTGTCAGCCTGAGCTATATTCGAGGCAAGCCCTGGGGAGCTTCGGCACTGCCATGTCAGTTCGACTGGACGACGTGATGCACCAAAGCAATCGGCACGAGAGGATTCTACTGCCCATTGGCACTGTCCACGACCTCGCACTATTCTACGGTATCCTGTGCTTTCGTGCATTGGCTGACGTGGGAATACCATTCCCTGCAGCATACAATCCGAATGCGGTGGAAACAGACCAACACGCGGGTTGCTCAGAGGCATACCCTTTTGCGCTTACTACAGCGTCGTTAAGACTTAAGCCTATGCTCCAGGCCCAGTGCCGCATCTTCGGCTATCTTTGGAATGTCTGGGAAACGGGCACAAGGCGTGAGTTGTTTCATGGGACTTCATTTCATAGTCTGACTCTGCGGTATCAGGCCGGCCTCCATCAGTGGCTTGCATTCTTTCCGGTCATGCCTAATCTGAGGTTCTTCTTTCCAGAACATACAGTAACTGCGCCAAATCGCATTTGAGAGCACCCAGGGGTCCATACATGGTGCGCTGAAGTCTGGGAGCTGTGCATCACCGATCGCTGGTGAGTAGGCTCGCTTGCGCTTGCTCTGTCTTGGTGTTCATTGCGGTTTTCCGGCTGTGGATATGCGTCTACTGCCGACATGCTCGCTGTCCTTTTTGGATAGCGAGCTACTGCAGGAGGTCGAGCAGTCCCCGGTGTAGGACGATGTGTGCCTAGATCCTGACAATGTATCGGCATTTTGTCGTGTTCTCTGAGTCTGAGGCCCTACGTGTGTCTGTCCCATCGCCGCATCTAGCGCTTCTCTACGTTCATCTTCATCGATCCTCCTCCGTACATGCCATCTCCAACCACCCGAATGATCCCGGGAAGACATCCTTTGCGCCGATCTTCCCGCTGGTCTACCATTATCCATGTGGGCTGCTCTCTGGTTTGAGGACGTAGTCGCAAGTGCCGCTGTCTCAGATGGGTCGAATCTGCGATCCCAAACGGCACCTTCGAGTCGTCCGAGCCCCACAAAGGACGAGCTGTTAATTCTCAGCGTGAAGACGCACACGCTGACGACGAAAGCCCGGCCGGGCAGAATATCGCGCTCTTGGATCTCGGTGTTAGATTTGCCCCGGAGAGAGTTCTGTGGCATGCGGTCCGAACGATCCGATCTGCGTGACCGTGACAGACGTGTGAGGGACGCGTGAAGACCAGATCGACGGAGGGTCTCAGGTGCACTGAAGATCTCGGTAAACATACAGAATACATGAATTGTAGGCTGAATCAATAGGAAATGATCTTCAATCCCCGCCAGTAACAAGTGAGACAAAGGCAGTAAAAATTTCCTCGGGACGGAGCCGGTCCTGTATCCGTTCCCGGATCTCTTGAGCACGATCCCGGTGTGATTTCTGCTGATTGTCAGTCTGCACCTCCAACACAGCCTTGTCCAGGACGCGCAATGCATCCACATCGGACATCCACCCGTAGCTCTGTGAGTCGTCACGGACGGCCCAGCGAATCGCCCAGGAGAGACTATGATCATACGCGAGACAGTTCTCTGGATATTTGCGAATGAATGCAGAGGCTGCGTGGGCGAATTGACGCTGCAGTTCAGTCGGGATCATCAAAAGAATGTCGGTGTCCGTGTGGCGTATCAATTTGAGCGTCTCAAAGTCCAGGTCGTGCTCCGTTTGATCCAGACTTCGGATGGTACACTGCTCGAAGAAAGCGGTAAAAACAGCCACACGTGCATACCCATAAATGGATGGCCGCTCCATCCGTTCATCGTTGTCAAGGCCGAGCCCGGAGCGGAACCAGTCCTTGTCGCCGAAGATACTCAGCAGTTGCTCCCATTGAAACGAACTCTCCTTGAAACATTTGAGCACGACGGACTGGACGATGGCAGCCAAACGGTGCGTGCGGATATTGGCTGCTCGAGCCCGCAGAGTGCGGAGAACCCGAAGATGGGTTTCGAGGTCTCTTGGTGGCACATCAGACTTGAGCAATTTCCGATAAATCAGCTGGAGGGCGTCGACAGATTCATGGCGATCAAATGATGCCTGCAAGTTGTTGCATAGAGCATGGCACAGGAATCGGGTGTAATGATGCTTTGAGTTGAATTCCGGGTCGGAGGCGGTGAGGGACGGATATTGAACAAGGAACAGCCCAAGAGACTGCAGCAGCCATAGTGGATATGTCGATGTCTGAGCAAACGGGGCGATAATCAGACGAGCAGCACAGACGACGTTGTCCGCTGTCTTGTCCGCTGTCTTTCCTAATGCCGAGCCGATCAGCTTATCGAGAGCGTCATGCAGAGTCAAGTAGCCATCCGCTTCCGTGAATTGCATTTGTGACTGGTGGAAGAGCGAATTGGTCACATCCCGTTGGAAGCTGGAAGTGCATTTGGAAAGTGCCAGCAAATATTGCGTGTACGTCCCGTGCATGTTTGCTTGCCATCGCTCGGTGTGCATATCATCGTCAGAGTCGCTTGTCTGTGTGGGGGCCCGTTCCTGGCTCCGAGACTCGATCACGTTCAGACGGATCAAAGCGGTCACGGCGGGGACCATGCTCTGCACGTCGGGAGAAGCATGGAATTTCGAGCCAAGCAGCGTGTTCTCCACGTCAGCTGCTCCAACTGGACTTTGCAAAGGCGACCTTGTGTGGAGGGAGAACGCGCAGATGGCCCAGATGGCCCGGAGCACAGACAGCTGGCGGCGTAGGCGGTCCTTGGGCTCGAGCAGATTGCTGTTGGAGCTAGCCATGAAATCGGCGAGACGCTGGCAGAGATGGACTTCCGGATCACGCAACAGCGACTGGAACAAGGCCTGATACACACGGCGAGGCTGGTTTTTATCGAAATCCCACAGCGTCTGGGGGAGCCCCTCGACAAGTTTCTCGAGCTCGTCATCGTCAGAGAGAGACCGGAAGGCCCATGCGAGTGCCCGGGTCTCCGTTTCGACAGTGGGATGCAGTGCTTCTGATTTCAGGGCTTCCACCATGCTCTGGGACTGCGGACGGCTATCTGCAGGTGCAGCAGGGTTGGAGGGGGCCTCAAGGCTCGTCGACTCTGGACAGGTATCTGCAGATGCAGAAGGCTCTGCGGAGGCCTGGACATTGGTTGAAGCGGGTTTGACAGATTTCTCAGGGTCTGTTGGAGCGACTCTTTTTCGGAGGAAGACTTTGGGAACAGCCACTCCCCTCTGGATATAAGCCCTCAGCATGCCTCCCAAGCTCTGATTCAGCGACCACAGAATCCGTGTGAGTGGTGTCTGGTATGGACTGTTAAGGAAAAACAATGGAAGGGCGGTGAATGTTCCGTAGACTGCGACAAAGAGGAACAGCAGAGCAGATGTCATGCCCATGATGATGATGTTGATGGGCACCAGAAATGCGACCAGACCTGCAAAGAACAGGACCAGAGCCCCATGCAAGAGAAGCGGGGGAACAACGACGACAGCATGCATATTGAAGCGTCGTAAGCCAGAGTAAAGATACATGTACACACGTGAGCGGACAGAGGGAGACGAGAACATTGATGTCCGGTGCTGGTAGTCCTGTGCCCACTGCTTGACCAGAGTCGCGACAAGTGCGCTCGACAAGCTAAGTGCGAGGCTGGTGAACCAGAGCGCGTTGCAGACAAGGGAGGAGACTGGGGGTGAAACGGCTGCGGCGGGAGGGAGTGCGTCTATCACCACCATGCCATTGTTCATATTCGCGAGCTGGAGCGTGATCTGACTGAGGAGTGCAACGGTCTGGCTGAGCAGCACGACAGTCTGGCTGCCCGAGTCGGGGTTCAGTGTCTTGTAGCTGTCGATAATGAAAGTCGTGACAACGCCGGAGAAGAGACCGGCCTGACGAGTCAAATTCAGAGATAGAATTGGATGGAGAACAGAGAGGGACGCACGAAGATGAGCAGACCGTCCATCTCACTCCGCCAGCCATCAATGAGACCCTGATCATAGTTTTGCGCCTCGGTGATGTAGGCGCTCCAGAGCTTGTTCCCGCTGGCCCTTTCGCGCTCGATACGCTCTTCTTCTGCCTTTCGTTTGTCGGCCTGTTCTTTCTCAGCTTGCGGCATAGTCAAAGGCAAGAGAGAAACTGACAACCACTAAGCGCCCAACGCCCGAGTGGCGGATCTAGACACCGGCACTAACGGAAGCTCACACAGGCTCGGACGGCGGCGCACACCAGGGGCATGCCAATCAGCACTTCCAGAAGCTGATTAGATAGCATCAAGAACTAGTGCGACGGTATCGGTCCCAGGAGGCGCATATTGGTCCCCGGGATTGACGTAGAATCTCGGTGAGCAGATGGGAGGTCGCGAAAAGCCTATAAGACACATAATCTCTCAAAGGACAGAGTGAAACCGGATATGCAGGTGGTACTTGGTTACATGCGATCGTGATTGTTCCTTCTCAGGCAGCTGTGCTCGAAGCCATGGCATGGCCAATCCAAGCAGCGTTTGCACACTCTGCAGCGACCGTTCTACACCATGGTCGCAGGGAACACCAGTTCTCAGAGAGAGGGTTCTCATTCAACTGAGACCGGTTGTCCACAAAAACCTTCGAGTGGATTGGAGGAAACACGCGCTGTCACACGGCATCAAGCTCGTCACGAGTCCACCGCTGCAACGACGGCATTCCCCATCCCTGTTCTCTGGCAACGTGCCAGGGATCGACTCAAGAGTCAAATTCCATGGTTGGCCGTCTCACACCATACAAGGAAACAGCGCATCTGTGTAAGCTATACTTGTCTCAAGCAATGTGATTGTTCGGCGCTCTCACAAGCCAGCTGGAAGACAAGATACTGCAGCTGTGGTAGTCTGATGCGTCCAAGCAATTGACATGACACCTCTCATTGGTACTGAAGACAACCTCGCGTTGATCCACGTTATCCTGTGCTTTCGGGCACTGCGTGACGTACGACCGCCTTTCCCTGCCGTCCTCGATCCGAGGGCGTGTGCGCTGGAGAGAACACAGCATCGAGAGCGCCGGGGCTTGCTGTGGGCTGTCAACTCAAATAGCACAAAGTGTATGTCGCTTCCTTGCGCTTCACTTCATTGTCTGATTCTGCCGTATCAGAATGACTGTTTGTGTTAGTGGATTGAATTTTTTCCAGTCTCGCCCAACCTGACTACCTCTTCCCAGACCGCCGAGTCTGATTCATTGCTCGATAGGCGCCTCTGTGCAACGCACACACAACACGTTGTCTCCCACCTGAGCCGCTACATGCATAGATGGCAGCGAGGAAAGACAGCCGATCAACCTCGGCGGTGAGCGTCCATCCCGTCGCGAATCTCAGGGCGTTCACACTGCAGTATACGACTATGCTTCTCCTCGCCGCGTCTCCCGGATACATCAGCTCCTATGGATTCGCTTCCGGCAAACGTGTTTGACACGCGCTCAGCCACCAAGCCTGCGCCCGGGGTCAAGACAGAATCAGACTATAAATACAACGACGACGACAGACTCGCGTCCGCCACAGTGGTGTCGGTCCTGTCGTCATTCGTGCCGAGCCCATCGCCCGTGGTGTTGCCTGCGCTCCATCGCTCATTGTGCTATGCACGACCTCGTGTTGATCTATATTATTCTGTGCTCTCATGCACTGGGTGCCGTGCTACCACCATTCCCTCCAATGTTCCTGGGGCTCGTTATCGGATTCACTCTGGTAGCATTTCACGGACAATCCGTCGTTTGCGGGAGTGCATACGATGCTCATCAGCGAGTTGAACGGCTTCGATATTCCCCCACGGTCATCTCATATCCCGGTTGACGCCCTACGCGTGCACGGCACGTCCTGCCCCACCCACGCCGCTACGTACGCGGTCGCTTCGACGTGACTACGGCGGCCGGCCCGCATCCTCCTTGCATTCGACCTCGTGTCGCGCAGCGGTCCGGCGTGCCGGCCACGGGCATTCCCACCCTACCCCGTTCGAGACGGTGCACACGGATGCGTCGTCGCTGTCCACCCACTGTCAGACTTGGCACGGCGAAACATTTCGGCTACCCCAGACGGCACACTGCGTGGGCTGGCAGCAGAGAATGTCAGACCCTCAGAGCATGGGGAGATATGCCATTCGAAGATCGGGTCCCCGAAGATGCGTGCAACCAGGCTCTGGTCGAACAGCTGGTTCCGCCAGGGCGCATGCTCATCCCTGTTGGCACGGACGCTCAGCAAATGGTGCAAGTCGACAATGACACCCGCAGGAATGTTATGGAAACACGAATCCGAGTACTCGTCGTCTGCGGAAACGATGAGCCTCGCAGACGCCGCAGGCTGGCCGGGATAAGCAGGGGTTGTTTGCAAGGTTCCTACTGGCGCGGTCCCGTTGGACAGGACTTTACTCGCCCCAAACCACAGGGTGCGGTTCGGACTCAGCGCTGGCGGGACAGAAGGATTAGGCCTCAGGCTTCACGGCACGGCCCGGTGCACAGCTTGAGAAAGAATAGACTCCCACGACGTGTTGACGTAGGACGTCGACTGGCAGGTTTCGGGAAGAGTGGGCAAGCCGCGCCAGCTCGGAACGAGGCATGTACCTGCAGTTCCTGCGCAAAAGCGAGGAATCTTACCCGGTCTGGATGCCAAATATTCGCGAACGCATGGGTCCGACCACCACCCGGACCATCTTGAAAACGCCGTCCAGCTCCTTGATTGCGGCCAATCGGGCACAGACGGCTGCTCTTTCAGCGAGATTGCCCCGCAGATCCCATGCGCACTTCGGTCAGCGTATCGTCACTCCCGTCCTGAGATATCACTTATCATTGTCTCATTCAAGGTGTCGTTCAGGTCTGAAATTCAATCGACAGTCTGGACCATCGACTGGCTGCGCCGCTCGAGATCGCATTGGGCAACAGGAACTAGGACTTGCCCGTGCACCTCGAGCGGTGTGTTGCACTCTCAGCGGAGACAAGCCTGACCTCGATCATCGTACCGGATCTGGGTCCGTCGAAGTCTCGATGATGGCCGTCATATTAGATCTGGCTCAAAGGCCATTTTGGGAGACGCTGTCCGGGCTGGACTGTTGTTGTTGCCCTGCACGTCGCTGGCGGCTAAGGAGGTATCGCTTGATTACGCGTCGGAGACAGCTGTATACTGTGGACACACGATTGGAGCCGAATCAATCGCTACCTGGGAAATGATTCGAGTGGAAAATTCAGAGTGGGGCCTTAGCAGCCGGCACAAGGACGGCCAGACGCGATGCCACCTCAGCCGTGATGGACTAGCACTTCCATTCAGAGAAGGAAGGAGCTTTCGATACGAAACGCGCTCGGAGGCGGGGTCCGAGGTCTTGCACCTAGAGACGAGGGCATCAAAGCACAACGAATCTAAGCTACGACGATTGGATTAAACCAGTCTCATTCGACGCTGCCGTTATTGGGGAGACGTACTGCACCGCCGCTTTCACATATGATGTCTCCGCACCGGCGTCTTGATGCAGATGTACTATTTCCAGAGCCTGCAGTTTCTCTTGCGCAAGAACGCAGTGATCGGCATGTCACGGCGCGCGTCCGTGCGCCAGCGCAAGCCTGGCAGAAGTCTGTCAAGACACAGGATAGACCGCATTCGGCACACTTGCGGCTACTTTCCATCCGAAACGCGCATGCATTTTGGCCGCCTTAGTCGACAGTGCCGCCACCAAGATCGCGGAAACACCTCGGGCATGGTGAATATCGAAGCGGCATTCTCGGGAACGCCTCGGCCGCATCCAGGTGTGAAGTCGAAAGACTTGCAGGCGGGGATGGTCGGTTTTCAGCGAGTCTATAGTAGGTGGCTCCGAATACTGGGAGGAGATTCGGCTAAATCTACTACATAGAGAGTGGAAGCGAGCCTACCGCCACCGCAGCTGCCTGGCTGCGTTTCCTTCTGCACACTCATTCTCATTTCTGAGCGCTCTGCACTTAGTCGACATGGCGCACCCAGACCCACATTCCTGCCGCTATCAAATTCTGACCTTGGCCTGTGTCGCCCCAGGATCTTCCATGTGTCTCGGGGATGATGCATGATGCATGATGTGCGACCGCTACGATCCAGCTCTGAAGACGTGACGTGTCCTGGTCGCCCAATTCGGCGAGCTGCCTTACTCTGTACCCAAGCATATGCTTTTTCGAATCGAGGCCGCTTTCCGCCGTCACCGAGACCTGGTGCTTCGTCAAGCCACGTCGCTGATTTGTGCCCCAGAACTTCGCTCGACGCGTCTCTCGCCGGTCCCCTGCATGCCTGTTCATCACGCGCACCGTGTCCTGCAGGAGCCACCCGTACCTCTGAAGTAGCTTCCGTTGCAGCACACGGACGATGTAACACTCAAGGAAACGCAGATATCTTTGCCGACAGGATCTTTGTTTACCTGTCACACGACTGAGCTGCCACTCTGGCACTGGGGCAACACTGTGTGTCACCAGGGTGGTTTACATGAGCGAACTACTGGATCGGTCGACCTCGCGCACTTAGCACTGATGCCACACACGCGCATCCCACGTCCTCCCCCACACACGTCGCTACATCCGCGGTTGCTTCGACTTAGGGTTCGAGCGCGAGCACGATGTGCAGCATCTGACTGGGCTGGGCATGAGATGAATGGGGCGGTGCTGTGGTTGCAGGCCATATCAGCCAAGGGCCATTCATGCCACCGCGGTGCAAGGCCAATACATTGCTGGCGGCCGCGCAGTGCCACCCGGACTCGGGCCGGGCAGCACTGTTCCCACATGGTTTTGTCCCTGGAGGGGGTGTGGCCGAGCAAAGGGAGCGAGGTGCTGGCTGCGATTAGGGGTGGTGGACACAAAGTAACGGTCACCAGCCCAGGAGTGCACTTTCGCAGTTGGTCCCTGGTTCTGTCGGAGCTCTACACGCACGCGCTGGTGGCGACGGGTGGCGGGGCGTGTCGAAGGCGCAGAAGGGCTTGCACCTGAACAAGGGCATTTATGCTGGGATGAACGCATTTGGTAGGGGAGGGATGATCAAGCACACTGAATGCTTCCAGTCCGGAAGGGGGCGTGATCTTGGTTTTGGGACTATCCTCAACTTCTCGACGAAGATCGGGACTGGGATGGGCGATCAAATGCTCAGTCGCAAGTACTAATACCTTAGCACGCAACTCGCGATCGACCGTGTACTGACGTTCTACGGCCATCCGGGATTCCACATCAACAACATGCTCGTCATTCTGTCTGTGCCGGTTTTCACTGTCACTTGTGAGTGCCTTGACGCTCTTGTGGGGTTGTTCTGACGTGCAGTCAGTGGTCTTTGTTGCATCTCTGACGTTGAGAATCACGATCTGCGAATACATGTCGTCGGGACAGTTCATCTCTGGTCACACTGTATGCCACAACTTTGTGTACGTCTCGTCCTGGATCCACCGGTGTATCATCGGTATCCTCTTGGTCTTCATTCGAAGTTTCTCTACGTTCATCGATCCTCCTGCGCACATGTCATCTCCAACTAGTATCCGAATGGTACCGAGAAGATCCCCTTTGTGCCGACCTTCCTGCCGGTCTACCATTGTGTATGTGGGCTGCTCCCCAGTTTGAGGACGCAGTCGCAAGTGTTGCTGTCTGAGATTGGTCGAATTTGTGATCCCAAACGGCACCTTCGAGCCGTCCGGGCCAAAAGGACAAGCTGTCAATTCGCAGCGCAAAGATGCATACACTGACGACGCAAGTGAAGCCAACCAAAACACCGCCCTCCTGGTGCTTCTTATTGGATTTGCTTCCAGAGAGAGTCCCGTGAGGTCCGGTCTGAACGATCCAATCTGCGTGACCGTGACAAATGTGCATGTACGCACGCAGACTAGATCGACGGGCTCAGGCGCAGTGAAGAGGATCACGTTGAACGTACATAATACATGGATTGCACGCTAAATCAATGGGAAATGACGCCCTCTGCAACGGTCCCTTCATTCCCCATCACTCACGAGTCAGACAGAGGCGGCAAAAATGCCCTCGGGCAGAAGAAGCCGCTCCTGCATGTATCCGCGGATCGTCGCAGCGTTGTCCCGGTGTTCTTTCTTATGATCGTCCGTCTGCACCTGCGACACAGCCGTGTCCAGGACGCCCAATGCATCCAAATTCTTGACCCACCCGTAGGCCACATCAACGGCCCAGTCAAGCACACAGTAGATCCCATCCCAATCCGCAAGACAATCCGTCGGATATTCGCAGATAAATCCAGCGGCGGCGGCGGCGAATCGACGTTGCATTTCAGTCGGGATCACCGAAGAAGTGAACATGCCTGCGTAGGGTACCGATTTGAGCGTCGCAAAGTCCAGGTCGCGCTCTGTTTGATCCGGACTGCGGGTGGCACACTCGAGAAAAGTGGTTACAACACCAACAAGTGCACAGTCGAAAACTTGCTGCGCCGATGGCCGCTCCGTCTGTTTGTCGTTGTCCAGGCCAATCACGGAGCGGAACCAGTCCTCGTCGTCGAAGATACTCAGCAATTGCTCCCATTTCGACAAATCCTTCTTGCAACTTTTGAGCACGACGAACTGGACGATGACAGCCAAACGGTACGTGCGGACGTCGGCTGCTTCAGTTCGCAGAGTGCGCAGGACCAACAGATGGGTTTCGAGTTCTTTTGGTGGCTTATCAGACGCAAGCAGATTCCGATAAATCAGCTGGAGGGCGTCGACAGATGGCTGGCGATCGAGTCGGTACTTCAAGCTCCGGCATAGACTGTGGCACAGGAATCGGGTGTAATGATGCTTTGAGTCGAATTTTGGGTCGGAGTCGGCGAGGGGCAGATGTCGGACAAGGAATGGCCCTAGGCCCGGCAGTGTCAGATACAGATAATCTGATGTCTGGGCAAACTGGCTGATCATCTGGCGAGCAGCAAAGACGACATTCTCCGCAGTCTCGTCTGCTGCCTTCTTCAGCGCAGATTCGATCAGCTGATCGAGAGCCCGATGCAGAGTTTTGTAGCCGTCCACTTCTGTGAAGCGCATTTGTGGCGGATTGATGAATGAAATGGTCGCATCCCGTTGGAAGCTGGCAGCGCATTTGGAAAGTGCCTTCAGATAATCTCTGTATGTTCGATGCATGTCTGCGTGCTGTTGCCTCTCCGTTTCGGCGTCAGAGTTGCTCGGCTGTGTGGAGCCCCGCTCCCGGCTCCGAGACGCGATGACGTTCAGACGAATCAAAGCGCACACGGCGGAAAGCATGCTCTGCACGTGAGGGGAAGCATGAAACTTTGAGCTGAGCAACGCGTTGTCCACGTCAACTTCTCCGATTGGATTTTGCAGAGGTGACCCCGTGTGAAGGGAGAACGCGCAGATAGCCCAGATGGCCTGGAGTATAGAGAGCTGGCGGCGGAGGCGGACTTTGTCCTCAAGCAGATTGCTTGTGGAGCCAACCATGAAATCGCCGAGACGCTGGCAGACATGGGTTTCCGGGTTTCCCAATAAGCTGCGGAAATGCGCCTCATACACGTGACGAGGCTGATTTTGATCGAAATCCCACAGTGCGGGGAGCCCCTCGACCAATCGCTCGAGATCATCGTCATCAGACAGAGACCGGACGGTCCACGTGAGAGACCGGATCTCCGTTTCAACAGCAGGATGGAGTGCGGCTGATTTCACTGCCACAATCATGCTTGGGGACTGCAGACAAGATTCTGCCGGTGCATAAACCTCGTCAGAGACACCAGGGCTCGTCACAGGAGATTCGGCGGCTTTCTCGGGGTCGGGCACAGCGACTTTGGTTCGGATGAAGGCCCTGCAAATATCCGCTACCCTCTGAATGTAAGCCCTCAGCACACGTCCCAAGCTCTGATTCAGCGACCAGAGGATCCGTGTGAGTGGTGTCTGGTACGGACTGTCGAGGAAAAACAGCGGATGTGCAGTGAACGTCGCATAGACCACAACGAAGAGGAGCAGCAGAGCGGAGGAGATGCCCGTGATAATGACGTTGACGGGCACGAGAAAGGCAACGAGACCCGCAAAGAACAGGAGTAGTGAAGCGTGCAGCAGAAGCGGGGGAACGCCGACAACGGCATGCATATTGAAGCGTCGTAAGCCGTAGTAAAGATACATGTACACGCGCGCGCGAACAGAGGGAGACGAGAACATTGATGTCCGGTGCTGGTACTCCTGCGCCCACTGCTTGACAAGAGTCGCGACGAGTGCGCTCGACAAGCTGAGTGCGAGGCTGGTGAACCAGAGTACATTGCAGACGAGAGCTGAGACTGGGGGCGAGAAGGCAGGAGCGGGAGGGAGGGCTTCCGTCATTGCAGTCCCGTTGTTCATGTGCGCAAGTTGTTGCGAGATCTGGCCGAGGAGTGCGACCGTTTGGCTGAGTAGTACGACGGTCTGGCTGCCCGAATCGGCGTTCAATGTCTTGTAACTGTCAATGATGAATGTCGTGATAATGCCCGAGAAAAGACCGGCCTGACGAGTTACATTCAGAGAGTGTCCAGGATCGAGAACGGTTGGAGACGCACAAAGATCAGCAGACCATCCATCTCGCTGCGCCAGCCGTCGATGAGACCTTTATCGTAGCTCTCCGCCTCGGTGATGTACGCGCTCCAGAGTTTATTTCCGCTGGCCCTCTCGCGCTCGATACGCTCTTCTTCTGCCTTTCGTTGGCCGGCCTGTTGTTTCTCAGCTTGCGACATGGTCAAAGGCAGGAGAGAAACTACTTTGCCTCGTGTCCGCCCAGCGTTTCTCCATCCACACTGCCTCACTGGAACGATGCCACGGCTCACAGCCACTCTGCGCCTAGCGCCAGAGCCGCGGATTTAGACATAGGCGCTCAAGGAAGCCCGAGAAAACTCGGACGGCATAAAGATTGCCCGGTTGCGGATCCCAGGGCTCAAGCACCAGATAGACGGTGTCGGTCCCAGGAGGTCGTTGACATCCAACGACATGCATAGTTTCGAAATGAAAGGAGTAGATTCAGATAGGTCCGTTGTACCCGGTCACATACTATTGAATGTGATTGTCCCATCTCTCGCAGCTCTTCTCAACGTCGCACTGTCATCGCCAATCCCATGTCTTGTCAGGCAGTCCAGGGCTCCAATCTTCCTGACGTCGGTCGGGAGCAATTCGCCGTGGATGCAGCGCACGCCCATCCTGAGAGTGACCCTGTCTGCATCGAACTGAGATCGGTTGTTCACAAAAACCTTGCGATTGAAGTGGATTGGAAGAAACACGTGCTATCAAGCCGCGTCACGATTGTCACCAATCTCGAATGCGGTAGCACTGGAACAGCAACGACATCCTGCATCCCCGCTCTCTGGCGACGCGTTGTGAATCCACTGCGACCTTTTGGCCGGCCGTCTCGCACCCTCCGAGGAGACAGCCCGTCTGTACCACCTGTAGTTTGCGCAAGCGCCGTGATTCTCCGACGTTCTCACCGTGTCACGCAAGACAGCTGGAAGACGAGATCCTAATGCACCAGGGAAATCGAGACGAGGGGGGAGTTCGCTGACCATTGGTGCCGCACACGACCGCGTCCTCTCATCTACCTTATCCTGGCTCCCACAATCCGAATGCGACGGACACAGACCCATTCGCGCGTGTTTCTCAGAGATTCGGCGTACTCTTCTGCGGCTTCGAAACTGTGGGGACAATGGGGTTCATGGCGATATTCGAGCGTTCCGTGCTGGAGAGAACACAGTGTCGAGAACACCTAGGCTATCCTTGAGCTTCCTGCGAAACTGGCAAAAATCGTGAATCGATTCATCCCACTTCAGCTTCGAGGATATCTTGCTCAGCAAGCAGCTCATGCTCCCTAAGTTGGTGGTCATTGTTTGCTTGAGCTCTTAGTTGAGCGAGGTTGCTGAATTGCACGCTCCGGATATCTGCTCAACGCGTCTCTCACTGGTCTCTCGTGTGCATGTTCATCCCGTCCACCGCGTCCTGCACGAGCCACCCGTGCCCTGCCTTCGCTCCTAGTGCAAGACACGGACGTCACAGCGCCGCAACACCAAGGGGACGCATTATCTTCGCCGACAGTATCTTTGCCAACGGCGTTTCAAGGAACATCTTGACCTGCGAGATGTCGAAGCGCTGCGTCCTGAAGAGCTTCGAATGCGGCGGCAGCGGAGGGCCACATTATCCTTGCCATCGTCGTCGCGTCGCGTCACATCGAACTTTTCCTCACCCTGTGGTTCGACCGCTCATACGGAGGCTTCCTCACCGGCAACGCAGTCTCAGCCGCAGTAACGGCATCAGTGGCCTGGCTGCAAAGCAATTTAGCTACGCGATGTGTGGACTGGTCGCGGAGGATCCTCAGCTGCCAGAGCATTGACAGAGATACTAGCCGAAGGTCGGGTCGCCTACGATCAGCGCAATCAGGCTCTGGCCGAACAGCTGGCTCCGCCGGGGCGCGTGCTCATTCCTGTTGGCTCGGACACTCAGCAAATCGCGCAAGTCGACAACGGCGCCCTCGGGAATGTTACGGAAACACGAATCCGTGTACTCGTTGTCCGCGAAGGCAATGACCGTCGTAGGTGCCGCCAGTTGGCCGGGAGTGGTGATTCAGCCTAGGCTCCTACTGGCGCGGTCCTGTTGGACAGGACTTCATTCGCCCAAGCCACAGGGCGAGGTCTGGACTGAGCACCGGCGGGACAAAGGGATAAGGGATCTCGATCAGGTCCCGGGGCGCGGCCCCCCTACACAGCTCGGGAAGGAACGGCATGGTACGACGCGTTGTCGTAGGTTGTCGACTGGCAGGTTTGGGGGAAAGTGGGCAATTCGCGCCAGCTCAAAATGAAGCATGCACCTGCGGTCACAACGCAAAGCCAAAGAATCGAGCGTGCCAGTGCTTGCTTCCAGAAGTTGGACGGATGGATCAAGCACTAGCAAGATAGCACCAGCCCCAGGAGGCGCACATTCATCTCTTATAAGTCATATCGCAAAAGACTCCCGGTGAACAGAGGGGAAGTCGTAGAGATCCAACGCTTGCCATGGAAGGAGTCGGCTCAAATGTGTTTGTCCATAGGACTTTCAGACCGAAACTGTTTGCGCAATCATTCTTGATATGATAAACGGAAAATTTGTTCGCGCGGGACTATAGTGGGAGTGTGCCGTGGCCCCGCGGTGGTCCAGGGGGACTAAATTCGCGGTGTGTGGGGCCAGCACTAGTTAGTCCCCAGTGGGCCCGCGGCCAATCCATGTGGCCCAACAAATGGACGTGTTTCTGCCTGTCACAGAACCCTGTGTTCGCGACTTAGATCAGTCCGTGGAAAATCTGTAACACCAGGAAGCCGCACGGTCGTGAATTCCAGAATTCTGAAGAGTTCTGAATCCTTGTACCTTGACCCAATCTAACGACGACCAGTGAACCCGGCGTTACATTGGGTCGATGAGTAGACTTCTTGGTCTTTGCCCTCTCTTCCCATTGTCCCTTTCTCGTTTCGTACGCCATGGTCAACGAGGTAAGGGGGAAAGCGGGAAGTAGTCTGATCCTGTTTGGATAGTGGAACCAGCAGACAAGATGAGAAGACCATGTTTCTCACACAAAGAAGGTCGACCCCCGAAGTATCTCGCATCCGATGGTATTTGGCCAGCCGCGGCGAGGCACAAACGCCTCAAAGGTTACTATTTTGAGCTCGACGGAGAACTTGCTGACGCGAATAAACCGTACTTCTGGATAGGCCGCGATGACTTCTGAATGTGGATCGACTGTTCATGAGATCTATCTTCAAGCTGCAGCTCGTATATAAGCGCCTGTTGGTATCGAACACGAACAGAATCCCAGAAACACGATGCGTCTTCCAGTTTTCGCTCTCTCCTTATATACTGCCTTTCTGGGGCAGACCCAGGGCGACGTCGAGAGACAAGGCGCGGTTGATATTTCGGGTGGCAGCGTCAGCGGTACCACGCCAACCAGAAACAATGGCACCATCATTCAGCCTGGGGTCAACAGCATGATTTGGCTGGATATGCCGTTTCCGTTCGAGTACAAGCCGTCCAACTGGTGTCACACGGGGTATACCCACATCTCTGTCTGGCTGATGGATCACATACCCGGCGCTGAGGATCTGGACGGATCAGGAAAGCCACTGTATGCCCAGCACCATTTCGGAGACTGGACGATGTCCAACTACGCTCGTGAGTAGTTTCTAAATCGCGACGACTCGGAGCTGGTCCGTCTGACCGACGAGTTGCTACCAGATCTGCCTGACGCACCGGACAAAGCCCCGAATGTGCTGTATCTTCGTCGAGATGGCCCTGGTGTACCTGAAGGTGGGTACATGTACTTCTCCGTAGTGGAGCACGCAACTGGCTGTCCACCGGTGAGCAAAGGTCTTGAAAATTTTCGGCATTGCCTCATGACCAAAAACAGCGTAACTCACCAACACAATATGGCATTACGTCGAACCAAGTCTACGTGCACTGATATAGACTGGACCACCTGTCTTGAAAAGTGCACTAAACCGTTGGCGCTCATAACAGTGGCTATGCTTGATCCTAGGATATTCGTTCCTTCATTACACATTGTAAGACCGAGATATATTTTACAGCAATAGTATGGATGGCGAAAGGAGGACATGTGAGACCCAAGGCGCTGAGTCGATGGCGGGCGTGACTGAACATGCACCGATCTCCTGCAGCCAATCGTCACTCCCAGGGTGATAGTGATAGTGATAGTATTATACACGGCATGGTCCAATCACTGAACACCGTGTTCCCAAGATTATCCTAGCGCTAGGTACGAGCTAAATACGCGCCTTCGTCTTGGACCCCCAGCTGCTTATCCGACGAGCTTTTCAGCACATAACTCCGAACGTCTATCAAGGAGTAAGCAAGAAGGGGGCAGTTGGTGTGCGCTGCCTCGTTGTCACGAAGTAGCAGCACGTTGTATGACTATCTGTCGTCACAGAGTAGAAATACAGTGTGCTCGTAGGTATAACAAGAACCACTTGATACCCGCTCCCCAGGGAGAGTGACCGCTGGTTGGCCTGGGGGTGTTGAGAGGCAGTGTGGATCATGATCGATGATGGAGGTGACTCGGTGAGTGAGGTGGTCACGCTCACAGGTGAGGGTGGAGGACGAGGTCCGCTTGCCGTTTGATATGGGGAATGCCATCGGTGAGGTCGGCGTGATAACAGTCTGAGGGGATAGACCGTTCCACTCCTTGCTCGAGAGCGGCTTCCGGCACAGTCTTGAGACTGGCAAGGGTAGCAAGGATGGATGCGTGGCCAGTCTCGATGCTGGTGACACGAGAGTTCCAGCCCTGGATCGAGTCCACGATGTCGTAATTGGCCAATGAGCTCATCACAGACAGTTACAGCCTGGAGGGTTCAGGAGACCTCAAGGGCTGAGCGAGTATCGCACATAGAGGTGCGGAGGACGCCGATGTTCTCACGTAGCGTGTCAAGGTCTGAGGTAAATGTGAAGATAGCGTCCTCGACACGCGTAGCCATAGAGGCGATGGATGCCTGCCGCAGTGGACTCGAGTTTCAAATTCATTGTTTTGAGTGGAGATGCAGGAGGGGCCGGAGGGGACGTGGAGGTGACAGGTGTAATCCCAGACGTCGCGTCGGAGGCCGAGTTTTGGCGCATGAGTGCAGCCTTCTAAGTAGCGTCGTCGTCGGGCCAGGTGCAACAGTGACGGGAGTCACAGCCGCGGTGGTGGAGGCGGTCGTGTTGGCCCAGGGCCAGCTGATGCCGTGGTCGCGGTAGTGGTCCTCGCGTCCTCGCCCACTGCAGGTTTCGGGGCTTCATGTGCGGGCACGAGGTGCAGGGCGTCGCAGGATTTTGGGCTTTGGGGGCAACCACGAGGCGCTGGACACCGGACACGTGTAGTGTGATACGTCGGTCTCAGCTCGACACAGCAGAGAGGAAGGAGGCTCAGGTGCGAGTGGGGAAAGAGTTGTCGAAAATTTCACGTTTATCCGACGTTCCGCCGCGCGGAAAACCGCATTTTTTTCACTCAATTGTTTGTCAGGTATGAGTGTGTATGATTCTCCTCTCGTGTACGGGCCGATTCTGTAGAGAAAAGGGCGTAGGACGTTTTTTCGAGGGGTTGGTGAATCAGGGATGGTGATGGTTCGTGGTAGGAGAAGTAAATGGGTAGTCCTGATCTCTTTTCCATGTGAAATAACTTTCAAGTGAAGAAATCGAAAAAGCCAACGATTCGGCTATATGCCACACACTGCGCTGTCATGGATCGGCCACGACCCAGCTGGAGGTTGAAAAAACAATTCTATCAAGCATAAATGGATCATTTCTGGGATCTTGGGTATGTTTCTCTTGACTGTACACTTGTTTCCATTGTGTCAATTTTGAGACGGTTTTTTTCGTTTTCTCTTCTCCTCAGCATTGATACAACAACTCAGAAGTGGGATTACCAGAGTTGATGGCTACAGCCCGAAACATATTTACCAGGGTTCAGCGTCTAGTAACTATCGATGACGAATGTCTTAAGTACGCCAGAGAAGGGACCAGCCTAATGTGTCAGATTGAAAGAGAAGGACCGGGATCCAAAATGGAAGGGGGGCGCACAAGGATCAGCGCACCATCAGGCACTCCAGAGTTTATTTTCGCCGGCCCTCTCGCGCTCGAGACGCTCTACTTCTGCCTTTCGTTGGCCAGTCTGTTGTTTCTCAGCTTGTCGCATGGTCCAAGGCAAGAAGTGAAGTGCTTTGCCTCGTGTCCGTGCAGCGTTTCTTCATGCACGCTGGCTCACCAGGGCGATATCACGGCTCACAGCCACTTTGCGCCCAGCGCCAGAGTGGCAGATTGAGACATGGGCGCTCAAGGAAGCAAAAGTAAGCTCGTGCGACACAAACGTTGGCCGGTGGCGCATCCCAGAGCATGGCAGTCCATCAGCGCTTCCGGGAGATGAACACGTTTCATCAAGCACTAGGAAGATGTCGTCAGATCCAGGAGGTGTGCATATGCAGGAGTCGTTGTAGAATATCAGTCAGTAAGCGGGAGGTCGTTAGAATCCAACGAGACGCATCGTTTCGCAAGGGCGAGAGCAGACTCAGATACGCCCGTCGTAATTGGTCACATGCGGTGTAATGCGATCGTCCTGGATCTTGTGGCTCTTCTTAAAGTCGTACTGTCACAACCGACCCGATGTCTTGTCAGGCAGTCGAGAAATCTTCATGACCTCGACCGAGAGCAACATCAGATAGACGGCCTTCTTTACCATGGATGCATCGTACGCCCATCCTGAGAGTGATGCTGTCCGCATCTAAATGGAATCGGTCGTTCACGAATCACATACACTTTTCGATTGGAGTGGATTGGAAGAGACACGTGCTGTGACACCGCGTCACGATTGTCACGAATCTCGAATGCGGTAGCACGACTGCAGCAACGACGTTCTGCATCCCCGTTCCCTGGTGACGCATCGGGAATCGATTGCGACCTTTTGACCCACCGTCTTGAAACATCTGAGGAGAAAGACCGTCTGTGCCACCTACAGTTGGCGCAGGCGCCATGATTATCCGACGCTCTCATGCAAGTCAGCTAGAAGACGAAATGCATCCGCTGTGACATCCTAATGCACCAGGAAAGTCAAGACTAGGGGGCATTTCACTGTTCATTAGTATCGACACGCTACGTTTCCTAAAGGTCACACGCGTGTCGGTCTTGTCAGCGTATCCATCTCCTACAACCCGAATGATCCTACGAAGATCCCTGATGCGCCGACGTACCTGCCTGGCCACCACTGTGTATCTGGATCGGACGGTGGTCTGAGAAACCAGTCGAAACCATTTCTGTCCGAGATTGCTCCCTCGTGGATTGCCGTGGACACATGCGTTCTCTGCGTTGGTGAGTGCTCTACTGCATTTGGTCGCCTATCTCTTCAGTTTAAACATGCCACAGATCATTCTGTCTCGCCTGGACATGCCCTAGATTTGGAGCAGACAAGTTCGCGCCGATCATCCAGCGGCTGACAAAACGGGCGCTGCCGCGATGATCCCGAGCAACGTCTTCGAGCCGTCCTGGGCCGAGAACGAGGAGCTATCGATCTTCGGCGGGAACGCGCGCACGCTAACGACAACAACCAAGCCGACCGAAACACTGCCCCCCTAGTGCGAGTTGGCGTACTTGAGCTCTGTGTTCACGGATGACGCGCTCGAGTTCTTTGCCAAGCTATCGAACTTGGAAAGCACGACGCACATGCTCTGGCCGAATCCAGACACACCGTCCTTCAGCCAGGCCCAGTTCCAGCGGGAAATGCTGTGCTACCCCGTCGGCGATGATCGCTGACAATAGGCTCGTCGACACTGATTTCATTTCTCGATGGACGGCTCTACGCACACAAGATAAGTCCTCTTTCATCCGAACCGCTACATAGAAAGACGGCCGATCAATCTTGGCAGTCAGCGTCCATCCTGTCGCGAATTTCAGGGCGTTCGCACCCTGCAGTACAAGACTATGCCTCTCGTCGCGCCTCCCGGATACATCACCTTCCTCTGGATTCGCTTCTGGCGAACATGTTCGACAACGATGACGACGACGACGACAGCTCGTGTCCGCCACACTGGTGTCGGTCGTTTCGAATCGCTGTGGTGTGCGTCCATGCATCCATGCGTTGACCCACGCAGTTTACGCCCAGGTGCAGTGTCATGGCGTGCGTCTGGAAGCGCTGAGTCAAGAAATATGTCCGGACTACCGGCGAATCAGCCGCTTTATTGAATCTTGGGCGCTTTCATCACTGCTGCAGAGCAGTGGATCAACGGTCGCTGCATTTCCACGCTCGCTGCTTCCCGATCACTGGTGCAGCCAGCCATCGAATTTGTGGTCCTCTCCTGCTTCCGATATCTGCGAATGTCGCTTTTTTGTTGCGAACACGCTTCATTACGGCGGATCTGTGTGCACATCTCGCTCCGTGACTTCAGTCACCCTAGACGGGTGGTCATAAACTGGGCGAACCTGATGCTCTCGCTCTGTCAGCGCACGGGTCCGGCCGCTGCTTAGAATGTTTTCGTTCATCTAATCCTGTGTCCACGGTACTTCTGTGTCCTCTGTGAGGGTATACAACATGTGGTTTCGCTCAGCGACTCGCTCGCGGACTCGTATGCTCCAGATCTCTGCTTGACACGTCTCTTGCCGTCACTCAGATGCCCACTCACCACACGTATCGTGCCCTAGCCAGGCTGTCCGCTCCTGTTGCGGCGCTCGGACAAAGGAGACGCAGTATCTTCAGCGACCGTATCTTCGCCAACCGCGTTCTCACTGCCGCACGGCACATGAGAGGCACAACAGGATCACTGCTGAGCTGCATTTCTGGCGCCAGTCGACGCTCGGCTAAGGCAAGATCAGGTGTGACAATTCGGGCATGTTTGAGTGGGCCCGGGTGCACGCTAGTGGAAAGGGTAGAAAGAGCTCCAGGAGTGCCTTGCGCAGCATTTTACCGATGAGTGCTGGTCACGTTGGCCGCCCGAAAGTCCGGAATGTTACTGGCCGGATCGGCGGTCTCAGCAGCAACGGGATCAACGTTCAGAGCACCTGCAATTGGGGTGATATGACTTTGACAAGTTCAGCCGTCGCGTCGATTGGGCGTCTACTCGACTCGGACAGCGTCAGGACGAGCAGGAAGAGGAGGAGGAAGAGCATCTGCGACGGAAGCAGCAGGCTCAGGAACAGTTTGACCTGCCAGAAGTCGAAGAGATGCGTCAGAAAGAGCTTCCCATGCAGCGGCAGTGGCCGGTCACATTCTCCTCTTCATCGTTGTCGCGTCGTATCACACAATGGCCTGACACCAATCGTGGGCATTCGCACTTTCCCCCCATCCTCGCTCAGACGATGTCCATTGATGTCAGGAACAACACCAGTGAAACGGTGACCGCTACGACCGGCGGTTGGCGGCGGGCCGTTTCGACTCCCATGACACCCCGAATGTCGTGATGCGTGTGCTGGCGGCAGAGGATCCGAGGCTGCGAGGGCGTTGATTTACACATCGAAGGTCGGGTCGCAGCGACATCCGATAGACGGACCTTCACTTTCAATGTAGGGTGCGCCACTCAGAGAAATCCGGTTCCCAACGAAATGAAACCGGTTCTTCAGGAACGCTTTTCGTTTGGATGGCTTGAAGAAACGCGCGCTGTCAGCCTGACCTATACTCGATGCAAGCCCTGTTGATCTTCGACATTGCCACGTCACTTCGACTGGACGACGTGATGCACCAAAGCAATCGACAGGAAGGGATTCCACTGCCCATTGGCACTGTCCATGACCTCACGTTGCTCACCCTTAACCTGAGCTTTCGTGCATTGGCTGACATGCGAACACCATTCCCTGCAGCCCACAATCCGAATGCGGCGGAAACAGGTCAACACGCGGGTTGCTCAGAGTTGTACCGTTTTGCGCTAACTACAGCGTCGTTGACACTCAAGCCTGTGCTCGAGGCCCAGTATCGCACCTTCGGCTATCTTTGGACTGTCTGCGAAACGGGGACAAGGCGTGAGTAGATTCGTCGCATAGTCTGAATCTCTGGCATCAGACCGACCTCCGTCAGTGGCTTGCATCCTTTCCGGTCATTCCTCACCTGACGTTCCTCTTTCCAGACCGGAGCTGCGTCAAATCGGATTTGATGGCACCCAAGGTCCATACATAGTGCGCTGTGGTCTGGGAGCTGTGCATCACCGATCATCGGCAGCTGAGTACGCTCGCTTGCGCTTGCTCTGTTTTGGGGTTGATCGGGGTGCTCACGCCCTGGTAACGCGTCTGCTGCGAGATGCCGCAAGTGATTCTGCCTCAGATCGACCGCCTCTGTGTGCTGTGGACGCATTGAGCGATCCAGGCGCCAAGAGGACGAGCTGTCAACTCTCAGCGCAAAGACGCATACGCTGACGACAAAAGCGAAGCCGACCAAAACACCGCCTTCCCTCCACGGAGGGTCTCACGCGCAGTGAAGAGAAGTTGAACATACTGTGCATGATACACAGATTTTAAGCTATATCAATAGAAATGACACCCTCTGAAATGGTCCCTTCACTGCCCGTCGCTTAACAGCGAGACAAAGGCGGCAAAAATGTCTTCGGGATAGAGCCGGTCCTGCATCCGATCCCGGATTTCCTGAGCGCGGTCCCTATGTGATTTCTGCTGATCTTCTGTCTGCACCTCCGACAGAGCCGTGTCCAGGACGCGCAATGCATCCAAATTCTCGATCCACCCCTTGTGAGCACGGACGGCCAAGTGAAGCACCGAGAAGAACCCATTCTCACTCGCAAGACAGTTGTTTGGATATTTGCGGATGAATCCGGAGGCGGCGTCGGCGAAACGACGTTGCAGTTCAGTGGGGATCCCCGAAGAAATGTATATGCCCGTGTGGCGCACTACCGAATTGAGCATCTCAAAGTCCCGGTCCCGCTCTGTTTGATCCGAACCCCGGGCCATGCACTGCTCGAAGACAGCGGTGAAAACACCCACACGGCCACAGTTGTAAATTTGATATGCCGATGCGCTCTTCGTCCGCTTATCGTTGTCGAGGCCGATCACAGAGCGGAACCAGTCCTCGTCGTCGAAGATACTCGGCAATCGCCCCCATTCCGACAAATCCGCCGATCCTGAGAAATCCTCCCAGAAACTTCCAAGCGCGACGCACTGGACGATGGCAGCAAAACGATGCGTGCGGATGTCAGCTGCTTGAGTGCGCAGAGTGCGGAGGACCAACAGATGGGTATCGGGGTCTTTTGGTGGCACCCTAGACGCAAGGAAATTCCGATAAATCAGCTCGAGGGCGTCAACAGATTCCTGGGGATATGCTGGGTACGCCAAGTTCTTGCATAGCATGTAGCACAGGAATCGGGTGTAATGATGCTTCGAAGCGGGCTGTGAGTCGGAGACGGCGATGGACGGATGTCCGACAAGGAACTGCGCAAGGGGCCACAGGTACTCATCGGGATATTCCGATGTCTGAGCAAACGGGCTGATCATCAGGCGAGCAGCAAAGACGACGTTGTCCGCTGTTTCGTCCGTTCCATTGTCCAACGTTGAATAAATCAGCTGTGTGAAAGCATCGTGCAGGGTTTTGTAGCCCTCCGCTTCCGTGAACTGCATTTGTGATTGATCAAAGAGTGAATGGGTCACATCCCGTTGGAAGCTGGCAGCACATTGGGAAAGTGCCAGCAGATAATCTGTGTACGTCTCATGCATGTCTGCTTGCCGTTTCTCCTCCGCTGCGGTACGGATGCCACCGTTGGAGTTGCTTGCTTGTGTGAGGGCCCGTTCCCGGTTCCGAAACTCGATGACGTTGAGACGGATCAGAGCAGACACGTCGGGGAGCATGCTCTGCACGTCAGGAGAATCAAGAAATTTCGAGCCAAGCAGCGCGTGGTCCACGTGGGCTTCTCCGATTGGACTTTGCAAAGGCGAATCCGTGTGAAGAGAGAACGCGCAGATCGCCCAGATGGCCCGGAGCACGGACAGCTGGCGGCGAAGGCGGTCCTTGTGCTCGAGCAGATTGCTGTTGGAGCCAGCCATGAAATCAGCGAGACGCTGACCCAGATGGACTTCAGGATCACACAGCAGGGACTGGAATAGTGCCCGATACACGCCGCGAGGCTGGTTTTGATCGAAATCCCACAGCGTCTGGGGCAGCCCCTCGACAAGTTTCTCGAGCTCCTCGTCGTCAGACAGAGACCGAACGGTCCACGCGAGTGCGTGCGTCTCCGTCTTGACTGGGGGATGCAGTGCTTCTGATTTGATGGCCTCGGCCATGCTCTGCGACTCCGTACGGGTGTCTTCACGTGCAGGAGGCTTGGCAGAAGTACCGGGGTTTGTTACAGGAGATTCGGCGGGTTTCTCGGGGTCTGTCACAGTCTTTCGCTTTCGAAAGACGACCTCCCAAACAGCCACTGTCCTTCGAATGTAAGCCCTCAGTACACTTCCCCAGGTCTGATTCAGCAACCACAAGATTTGTGTGAGCGGCGTCTGGTACGGACAGTCAAGGAAGAACAACGGAAGGATGGTGAGCGTTCCATAGACCGAGACGAAGAGAAGCAGGAGAGCGGATGTTATGACCATGATGATTACATTGACGGGCACCAGAAATGCGACCAGACCCGCAAAGAACAGGACAAGTGCCCAGTGCAGGAGAAGCAGCGGGACACCGACGACAGCATGCATATTGAAACGCTGCAATCCGTGATACAGATACATGTACACACGGGACCGGATGGAGGGGGATGAGAACATGGTTGTACGGTGCTGGTACTCGCGCGCCCACTGCTCGACCAGAGTCGCGACGAGTGCGCTTGACAGACTGAGCGCAAGGCTGGTAAACCACAGTGCGTTGCAGACAAGAGCTGAGATCGGGGGTGAGAAGGGAGCGGCAGGAGGGAGTGCATCTGTCAATGCCGTGCTATTATTCAGATTCGCAAGCTGGTGCGAGATCTGGGTGAGCAGTGCGACGGTCTGGCTGCCCGAGTCCGGGTTTAGCGTCTTGTAGCTATCGATGATCAATGTAGTAACGACGCCCGAGAAGAGACCGGCCTGAGGATTCAGAGTGAGGAAAGTATCACGATCGAGAAAGGAGAAAGGTTGGAGACGCACGAAGATCAGCAGTCCATCCATGTCGCTGTGCCAGCCATCAATCAGACCTTGATCGTACTTCTCCGCCTCGGAAATGTAGACTCCCCAAAGCTTATTCCCGCTGGCCCTCTCGCGCTCAATACGCTCTTCTTCTGCCTTTCGTTTGCCGACCTGTTCTTTATCAGCTTGGGACATGGTCAGAGGCAGGAGGTAAAGGGCTTTACCTCATGTCCGAGCAGCGTTTCTTTATACCCGCTGCCTCGCTGGAACAATGCCCCGGTTCACAGCCACTGGACGCCAACGCCAGATTAGCAGATTCACTCAGACACGCAGGCTCACACGGAGTCAGTTTTGGCCGGCGGCGCATCCCAAGGCATGGCAGCCCGTCGGCGCTTCCAGGAGATGCACAGATCGCATCAAGTCCTGGTGAGATAGCGTCGGCCCCAGGAAGCGCACATGTGTCGATAAGTGGCCGTAGAACATCAGTGACCGAGCGGGAGGTTGTGAAAATCCATTCAGATGCCATTTCAAAGGGAGTGTGCATAATCAGATACGCTCGTCGTGCTTGGTCGATGTGACGTGATGTCATCGTCGGTTCTCTTGCAGATATTTTCGAATTAGTACTGCCAGGGCCAATCCGATGCCTTGTCATGTTGTGTACGCTCGCTTTTGATATCCGGGCCGAGATGGCTCTCCCCGGGGTGCAGGACACTAGCACGCTCTGCAGCGATATCGGATCGACGTCGAACTTCACCATGGATGCAATGCATGCCACTTCTGAGAGGGATGCGGTTCCCAGCGAGATGAAACCGGTTTTTCACAGATACCTTTCGTTCGAGTGGTTAGGAGTCGAAGAAAGGTGTGTCGGTCCACGTGAGGCCATTGGTCACGAGTTCGGAACGTGACAGCCGCAACGACCATCATCCGTGCATACTTACACACATTCTCTGGCTCTGTGCGAGCTATTGTGTCGGCGGGCAAGGAGGGTGGTCGGTGGCTGTGCTGATCGGATCTATAGTTGAGCCGATTGTTCCGTAGTTAGCCAGGACTGTTGTTCTCTGCCACCATCGCACGCGCTTATCAGAGCATCGCAACCCTCCGACCCCTTCGCCCGCCGCCGTCCCACTATACTTGGCGCAACCACCGTGGATCTTCGGCGCTACCACTTCAAATTCACCAGAAGACCAGACCCTCCATCTGTGGCATCCTCACGCACCGAATCAATCGACACGAGGGAAAGTCTACCGCGCACAACCTCGCAGTGATCCAGCAGATCATTTCGTGCCCAACGGCGCTGCACCATGACTCCCAACAACATATTCGAGTCGTCCCAAGTCGGGAAGGACATGCGGTCGAACTTCGTTGAGAAAACGCATACACTGAGGACAAACACCAAGCCGACCAAAGCACCACCTTGCTGGCGCTTGTTAAACAGCTATTCACGGACCCATCTCAGGCTAATCAGCGAGTAGGAGCAGCCGACCTTCATCCTCGTACCATGCAAACAATCCGCCTTGCACATGCAAGTCGCAGATATTCGCACCCTACCCCGTCTAGTGACTCTACCCCTGAGACGGTGTACTGTACATGGACGCATCGTCTATGGCACATGCTACGAGCAGCAATCCCAGCAATCCCATCTGGATGCATAAAAACGATGCCGGTAGAATGACTACGACTGCGACTACCGGCTGGCGGCAGAGCATTCCGACTCGCGGACCATCTCGAGAACGCTGTCCAGCTCCTGAATTGCGGCCGATCGAGCACAGACGGCTGCTCTCTCAGCGAGATTAGCCGGCAGATCCTGTGCCTGCCTCGGTCAGCTCATTGTCACTCCCGTCCTGAGATATCACTAATCACCTCATCTCACTCAAGGTGTCATTCGCGTCTGAATTCCGATCGATCGTCCGGATCATCAACTGCCCCCTCCTAGATCTTTGCTTGATGCGTCTCTCACCAGTCTCTCGCGTGCGTACTCATACACTCCCCGTCTTTCACGAATGTCATTGAAACTACCACGCGACTGAGATTTCTTTCTAGCACCGATCGATGTTAAGACGACTGGAGATTGGGCCTTACCAATGCGGTTAACCACGTCCGGGTTTAGACTCCGCTGACAAAACAAACACCAGCACAATAGCCGCGTGATGAAAAAGGTGCTCAAGCTTGCGAGGGTGTCCTCCTCGAGTGCAAGTACCCTCCCCTCCCCCCGTGCTTGCATTGCCTACAAGATTCGTGCCCAAGAGGAGTTGTCATTGGCGTGGGAGATGGACGGGACACCTCTGCTCAAGTCGCACGGCTTGTCGCTGTGCGTTGTCGTCACAGGGTGCATCGGCGCCCTCAGTTGCAAGTGGAGTACCGGACTTGTACGCTGGCCGGGCCGAAGCCTGGAACTGTGCAGAGTATCTGTACTACGGGCAGCAGATTCAGCAGTAGAATGGCTCTTGTCGAATGGGTTCCCGATCGAGCAGATGCCTGTCTCGTGCGTTCTGTTGCGGGAGAACGGCTGACTGCTAACTTGCAGGAGCACTGTTATGGTGCCGAGGGATAGGGACGTGATCGTTTACAATGGGAAGATATCGCTTCAGGGCTGGGCGTATTCCAGGAGCAGGAACTGGGTCGAGCGGGTTGAGTTCTCGAAGGATGGATGGGGTGGATCGGTACACGATCCAGCTCCATGATACTCAACTGGTGGAGCTGGAGACCCAGGGAGAACCGTTCTCCCCGCAGATCCGGCCGCTCGAGCTCACGCTGAAGAAGACTGAGGACTGTGCCCGAGCGCGGTCATGAAGTATCCTCGCGAGCCCCTGGACTGAGATGATGCTTATGTACGTGAGCATGAAATACAGGGGAAAGCACTGTATTGTGAATGATTTATCAGTTGAGCTGCGGGCATGATAAGAAGATCATGGTAAACGATTCCTATCTAATCTAATCTTCATTAAACATCAGTAGAGGCAAAGAAACAGATTAGATGGGGCCAACGATCGTACGTCCGGATGGTACATTTTGAGATTCTGCTCCGGGATAACTATCATCAAGCCTTTGCAAGTGACGCAAACTGCATCTGCCTCGATAAAGCTATTACACACCCAAAGCACAGCAAAAACGATCACGACAGACTGACCTTCCCTTTCTCCGAGTCTGAGTCCCGCGTTGGCGCGTGGTCCAGCTTGAACGTTGAAATGCTGAGGGCGTGCTCACAAGTGAATCTACTATGAAAGTAAACCCAAATATAAAACACGTTCACACTCCTCGTAATCAGCTTCTCAGTGTGTGAAAGATGCGAGGGCTTCGGGGTGGACAGAGCACCAGTATCACAACTCTCAATAGACGCAGATCCAATAGTCGCGGAGACGAAGTCGACGACAAGAATTTATATATAGCAAACAATGGTGTCTCAACCAATATCTTCTATACGAGCACAACCAACACTAATCCAATCCACAAACAACAATATAACAAGTCAGAGCTTAATACGAAGTATTAAGATCCCTTGTAGCGACAGCGTCCAGATGGCGACGCAAAGCTCAAATATCAAGTCGACGCACTGCCAACCGATACAACCAATATACTGAGTCGACGCACTGCCAACTAGTAAACCAAAAATACTGAGTCGACGCACTGCCAACTAGTAGAACCAAAATGTCAAGTCGACGCACTGCCAACTGACACAACCAAAAGTACTGAGTCGACGCACTGCCAACTAGTAAACCAAAATGCCGCGTCGACGCACTGCCAACTAACAGCCAATATCCAATGTCCAAAACCCGAGCACAACTTGTCGACGCACTGCCAAGCAAGAAGTGTGGAACCAAAGTTCTCAAGTCGACGCACTGCCAACTGACCAAAACAACCCGAGCACAACTAGTCGACGCACTGCCAAGCTAGAGGTGTGGAACGATCTCAACAAAGCCCGAAGGCGACGACACTAAATGCCGCGACTAAACCAGATGCGGCGAATCCGACTTTCTGATGTCTCAACTCAAACTCAAATCACAGTAGCTACAAGTGCTCAGGGAGCAACTCGTCGCGACCGGGCAGGGGTAGCAGAACTTCTTAGGGTGGAATCACGCGGCACGCAAATTGTACAAAACAATCTGAAATGAGAGTGATTCACAGTCCGGGGGAAAACTCTCTAATACAAAGAGACGACGTGCTACTTATACTGTCTACGACGCTGCTTAGTAAAGTCCTGTACAACTGCATAGTAGCTACGCTATCTAAGATCGGTTGCCTTTTAGGGTAATTGAAAAGTTGAACGATCGGACAGGTCCTGAGTGATCAGGACCCCGCCCCATTGTCCATATGATACTTTTGATGTGGGCCAACTCACCGCGTCATACTTTTGGAATACGACGTGCTGGATTGGCCAACGGGTATGTCTTGGCATGTGAGACCAACGTGGGCGCCCCAAGAAGCCGTATGGCTCTAGGCACGCCAATCGTCTCCCACATGGCTCGGTTCACGGATCTAGCCGTATCGATTTTAGTGTGTTCGAGTATGGACGCGACTCGCCGTGACACTTGGAAGTGTCACCGCGACGCGTCCACAATGTCCCGTGATCGAATGGATCCTGACATGTGACAAGTCGTCGTCGTGGCATGATCTGAGGAAACGTCCAACTCAAAACCGGGAGTTGCCGCGACAAGATGGTTTAAGTCTCGTAACGCCAAGTCCTGTCCAGTAGTAGTTCTATTATTGAGAACGTCGCGCATTGCTCAGCCCTTCAGCCCAAGTTCCCATCTGCAGAGAATGACCCTCTTCGAGAAGTCGACGCAACGACAGATCCCTTTTTGGGGAATGGTCGCGGCCCAAGCGTTCGTCACTAATGGCCCTGAGCCTGGTGTAGACCCATAAGACCAGTTCCACAGTAGTGGTCTGACTGCCTTGCTATCGTCGACACTATCCACAGTCGTCGACTGGGCAGTAGACCCTTAAGTCCTACTGAGCGCAACACTGTCAACCGCGACACGATACACCGAATGGTTCAAGAGTAAACTCTGTAAAAAGCGCAAAAATACGCCCTTACAGAGCTGGTGCAGAGCGCGTCTGGTAGCCAGCCTATCATCTCCCAGGAACACTAATTTTGACCTCCTGGTCAATCCCGCGACAGTCTCACTGCGTCAGGTCTAAGTCCAACAGTCGACGTCTCGTTCATTTATTATTAAAGCCGCGGAGACATAGAGTTATGTTCCCACGTCTTATTCATTTGGTTGTTCGGTTCCTTCCGTGATCTGCCGCGATCAAACTTCTTCCGGCATGTTCACCATATAAATGCCCTCAATTTTCAGGGTCGAGAGTCTCCCTAGTACGAGACACTCTTGCTTTTCGACCACCATGTCCGCGCCCGACCAGAGCCCCCGCCCCCAAGACAACAACCGTGAGTGACGCCCAGGACGATTACCGCGACTTTTCAACCACGCTAACCGTCCATCAGCCGTCACCGAATCAGCTGTCCCGGGAGCAAACCCGCCTGCCATCGACTGGCGGCAGTTCATGCCGTTAGTCAATGTCTCTCTCATGGCTTGTCGATCCAACTCACCACCTGCCTAGCCCTGAGGCCTACAACATGATGTTGCGGCAGATGGCCGTCGACGTCCGCCAGATCCAGCAGGTGAGCTCCGTTCTAAGCCCGCTGGAGCGAGCAGTCACGGCGATCAATGATTGCCGCGCCTGTTCGCTTTGGCCTTCCTTCTTTTCACTCACGTAAGGACTAGCCGGCGTCTACGCCCTTGACCACCAACGCTCCAGTCGAGGAGTCGTCGCCGCCCAAGAAACGCAAACGAGTCGTCGAACCCGTACGTGTAATCTGTTTCATTCGTTTACTATGTTC